ACGTTATTTTTCTATTTTCTATACATTATTCATTATAAAATTTGATATTATAGTGCATGTTTATTTTTAAGAATTCAGGTTAAAACAAATGTTGAAAGTATTGGGCAATATCATAAAATACATGCTGCTATATCAATCTCCATAAAGTCTGAGAAATGTGTTGCAATGCCAGAATTTTTCCGATCCAAATAAAACCGTTTATTTTGTCAAAATTGTAAAACAATAGATCGATTAAGTATCTTATGTGTTCATTTCAATTAAAAAATATAAAACATGATATGTATCAAAAAAAAAAGATCTATGTGCTGTTATGGTATCAAGGAAAATTATAATTTTTACAATAATTAATTTATGTATCGTTAAATAACAATATACTTTTAGCCGGCTTAATCTCAACTTTGATCCGTCGCCGAGAAGATTTGGTGTAGTTGTTAATAACATATGATGATTGATCACAAATTGTAAACATAAATGGTGTATATACATATCACACGCACATCGATCATCACTCAACATTTTGATGGGTAGCTATAAGGATAGGCAAGCTCCAACGGAGACCGTACCTACTCCGGTATATATATTTCGTGGGCATGAAGAACAAATCAATAGTTTACAATTCGCCGAAGATAATTCGTTCCTGGTGTCAGGGTATGCAAAAAATAATGATCGAAAAGTTGTTCTTTAGCATTGTTTCTCCGCGAAAGTCAAAATCATAGTAAACGGACGTAAATCAAATTAATTCTACTTCACCTACAAGAGATGCAGGTGGAATCATCATGATTTGGGATATGAAAACGAAACGTTCGGTTATACGATTTAAGGCTCACAATGATGGCATTCTGCGAGCTACAGTATGGCGCGACAAATTGATTAGGCACGTAGGATACGAAAAGCTATAGTTACTTATAATGATCTCGTTAGGACGATGTCACATTTGTTATTAACGTGATACTTTGTGAAGGTAGTCATGGAAGGGATAATTTCATACACATTTGGAAACATAATCAACTTTTGCAGGGATCAAATGGCACCAGAGAGGATGCTTCGTCATTGAAGCCTGAAAAGAGTTTGCCGGTAAATTCTTTGAACTTTTGCAAATTCGACATACGCTACAGAAAATCTGGAGTTGATGAAGAGCAAGAAGAGATCTTGGTGGTCATTCCCAATGTCACGGAATCTTCTGCTGTAAGCTTGGTGAAGCATTCGTTTGGGGAAAGACCGCTTGCTCACCTCAAATTCATATTGGCTAGATTGATATTTGGAATCTCTCGGATCAACGAATAATTGCATCTTCGATTGGATTGGATCAGAAACAAGAAAGAGGTATATTTATATTTTTCATTTCTAATGCATTGGTGAATTTACTTCCAAGGTTATTATTTACTTATTAATCTTTTTTTTTTTATTTCCAAGGTTATTGCATGGCCTTGAGATTGATCCAGTACCCCAATAATCAAGACCCTCAACCGATTAACTATTTGATACTGGCAGCTTATGAAAATGGTGGTATGGTCCTATGGTCGGTGACATTAGGAAGTGATGAAAGAACGGTTGTTGATCAATTGTGGAGTCGTAAGGAGCATAGTGAAAGTGGTCCGTATGAATCGATATCAAATTGCCGTTGAAATATATATACATATATATAATAACGATCAACGATCCCCGCTTAATATATTTCATTTAGCTTTGGGTCTCGATGTTTCGGTTGACAAAAAGTTTGCAATATCTACAGCTGGTGACAATAAAATTGTGAAATACATTTTTGATGAAGAGGTACTCTTCTAGATTCGGCTGTGAGAATCCCGTTTATCAAACCACACTAAACCGGAAAATTTTTGTGATTTCAGAATTATCATGCCGAACCGTTAATCAAGAGCACAACTGTGAAATATGCTGGAATAGCGGATGTAAAGATTCGGTCCGATGGAAAGATTTTTGCTACAGCTGGATGGGATGCAAAGTATGTTGAAACCTGAATCTCATCATCTCATTTAATCACTGCCATTGCGGCGCCATTAACGGCGCGAATTTTTTATAATTGAACAATGAGAATTCGCGTATTTTCATCAAAGTCCCTAAAACCACTGGCAATACTACAATACCATCGAGAAAGTGTCTACGCATTAGCATTTTCCTTAATTTTGGGTCAAGATGCTATCAAACAATCCGCAACGTTCGAAAATGAACCCAAGGATAAGAATGTCGATGACAGGATTGTGCAAGAGCAGCGGCAACAATTCGCGAAACATTATTTGGTTGGAAGCGGTAAAGATCATAGGATTAGTTTGTGGGAAATTTATTAATTATCATTCGATGATAATGGCTTACAACAATCTGACTTCACCTATCGGTCATTTATGAACTAAATATTTGATATATTGATCTTTCTTTCCCTGGTTTCAATAATCTTTTCTCAGCTATTTTTGTTGTACATATTTATTACCGTATGTTCAAACGTGCAAATATTCACAATATATAACGCCTATTTTATTACATTCACTACCATGACTTTCCGCGTTATTTTTTTTTTTTTATATCTCGATACTCAGCCTCGATGATGTCTGGTGGTCTCGACGTTTCGTATTGCCGGGAGTCTTCAAATCCTCCCAGCGGTATATCGAGCCATCTTCTTGTATCTGACCAATATATACTAATCTCATCTATGTCACCACGACCCAAACTTCCTTTCACTCTGACAAGTGCTCTTTTACCATTCCTCCCAGTTGTCCAATACTCAATCTTCACAGAATCTTGTTTTTTAAAAGATCCAATGGTTCCAAATCCCAATGTTTGTGAAGATACCAAGTGAGGTGGCGAAAACATAATTGATGATGAGGACGAACCTCCATAGTGGTTTCGAAGATCATCATAATTACTCTCATATGCCATTTGAATCTGTTTAACAGATGAAGCGTGCAATCTACTGACCGCGTTTTGCGTGAATGGTAAAGTTAGCGGCCAATATTTACTCACTGGAAATATTGGATCATATTTTGCTGCAGCGTCTACATTACGTGGTGGCCAAAGGAAATCTAAAGTTGACTTTATTAACTTGTAGGCGGCAAAAGCGATAATTCCATTTACCACAACGTTCGATTCGAGATGCCAAAAAGAATAGACAGCCCCACCTAATGCTATCACCTTTTTTAAGCCATCGTTTGATGTCAGAGGTGTATACGGTTTATTATTAAAAAATCGGACCGTGTTTGCACGACTGAATGGAGTGTAGGAATTCGCACGGGTTTTAAGAGCAAACGGAAAGACCTTTTTGTCTATCGCCGTTTCCGCATGAAAGCACGCGAAGGAGGTACAAAACAACTTTGAAGAGGGTCTAAATGGAGTAATAGATGGAAACTTCTTGAAATGCGATACCGAATGAAAAAATCCTTATGTAAGAAACAATTGATTGATAATCAGTTTGGGAAGTGATTGATGCAAAGAACAAAGGTAAATGTACCTTTATTTGGCAGATCACAAAATCGTGTTATCCTCAATGAAGAGTATAATTTGCGATTATCGAACAATCGAACA